CTTACGTTTAATGAAGATGACATTGAAATGAGTATGTTAAAGAAGCATATAGTTAGGAAGACTAATCTTTCGACTGATCCTGCAAAGGCTCCAACTCTCTTCGAAGTTACTATGGCTGCTTATGAAACAATTACAATGGACTTAGAAAGACATGTTAAACGTGATGTAGAAGAGTTTAAAGATCGTCAATATGCTTTATTTACTGGTGTTCAAATACATGGACCAAATGGATCCGATCATTGTTGGTTAGGAAAAGCAAGTTTACTGATCAAAGGAGAATTCTCACCGCTTGTTCTTTCGGCAAGTCCTACTTTGCAATTATAGACAGGATCATCAACCAAGTCACACTGACAATATAAAGTTGCTCAAGACTAAACTATACTTCTTGATATTTTTATATACTATATAGTTTTAATATCTCACGATCGTTTTAATAAAAAAAAGAATATTTTCTAAACAATTGTTTTTGATAGTATGACTAGTTTTGAGCAGAGTTTTACACTCACTCATATCCTTATTGAGGGTATAGGTGTAAGACATAAACGAACGCTAGATTCACGTCCACACCCACACCCACACTCTACTCTTGAGCTATTGCAAAAGATGCTCCTAAAAATCAAAATTTTGGGCGAATATTAGTAACTATGCAACTGTTGCCGTTCGATTTCTATCGTTACTTAAGTAACCAATAAAATAAACATGCTATGCATATACATAAAAAACAACTTTGCCTTTGACAGGTGAAAAAAATCATAACTAAAATTTTTAAGTGAGTTTGATTTTGTTTGAGTAACTAGGAAAAGAATTTAATACAAAGCGTATGAATAGATCTCTATGCATTGATAGACAAACATAATTAACCATTCTGCAATTTTTATTCCATATGACAACAATATATTTGAACCATAAGTAGTTGTAGATGAAAAATGAATTTAACTATTGAAAACCATGTGCTGCTGTTTTTATATAACTTCTAAATATCTTCACAAAATATATCTTTCACTGTTTTTCTTACAAACTACTTAAAACAATCCAAAATGAAAACTGCTTCCATTTAACTGTAAAATCATAGAAATTTTTATTTTTTTCAGTTTTTTAATGAAAAACTCTATGACAATGCTCCAGAGAAGACGTAGTCAGTAAATAATTGTATTTTTTTTGTTGCTTCTCTACTGTAACCACGGACGGATGGACTGTCATTTTTTTTTCTTTTATTCTGAAGCAGAGAAAAGAACTCAAATAAACGGTATACAGTTTTTCACCTGGACGACATAGAGAGAATTGTTTTTGTTTCATCTTGTAGTCAAAAGTTGATTTTATTCTATCATTCATTCACTGTGACAGCATACCTGCCTCACTACAACAACGAGAGAAGCATATCTTTTCTTCACATTTGTAGTCCATTGTTAATATGACTAGTTTTGATTCTTACGCTACGAAGTTATCTTCTAATGGTGCTTGTCCTCATTGTCATCAACCCATGAAAAAGAAAACAACTTCGACTGATGGTTTTCAATCTACTTTAGATAAATTATTTCCTAATGCATATGGACTTGAAGAATTTGTCTTCGAAACAAAACAAACATTAGTCCCGAAAGGCTTCTATCCTCATGT